CCGCACAGCCGCTGGTCCCTGCCCACCTCTGTCCGCCGTGACAGAGCTCCCGGCTGGGCAGAGCCCGGGGGTCCCTGCGCCGCCGCCGGGAGTCGCTGCCCCTCTTCCGCCCGCGGGGCACGGCCAGCCCTGGCAGAGCGATTTTCGGGAAAAGCTCCCACCAGTGCCGACCCGAGAGCACGGGGCCAGGTCCGCTGCGCTGCTCCAGCCCGGATCCACGGCAGGCTCGTTGGCACTTCAGAAGCCTCGTGTCCAGCTCGGACACCAACCCACAGAGGCCACGGGCAGGGATGAAGCTCCGAACTGCCAGGTCACTGCCTTGGCACCCCAGGGAGGCTCGTGCTAGACAGGACATTTCAGCTTCTTTACCAAACTCGTGCTGAGCCTAGTTTAACCCGGCAGGTCCTCGTTGGAGTCCCACTGCATTTACAGAGCCAGTTAGGAACCTCCTTAGAGTAAAAAAGAAAATTGTTATTAGAAACAGGATGAAGCTATGCCTGAACTTGAAGGTGATAGTCAATACCTCGTTGAGATCCTGTTCTTTACAGCTCCATTTAGAGCAATCTGATGTTGTCAACTGCACTGAAAATAAACTAATTTTTCCTCAGAAATTTATTTAAGAGAGACTCGATTCAGTCTCCAGTTCCCCCTGTCCAGATCAGCAGATGGCCTCAAGACAGAGGAACAGACCATGCTTCCAAGAGCCATCTGATTGCAGTTTGACTGCCTGGGCCTGACATCACTAATTATATCTGCCCATTATTTCCTCTGAGTGAAGAGATGATTCTTCTGGGTCAGATGATTGGACTCAGAAACAATAGCTAGAAAAAACTTAAAAAAACAATAGGGACAGTGGGGTTCAGGCTTGCCTGAGGCCAAGAAGCCCAACCCAAAACCAACCCAGACCATCCTGCAGCCAGACCATGGCCTCATGCACTGGAAGACAATCAGCAGCACAAAAATAAATGATATCACAAGCCCTGGTGTCTAGATCAGAAAATTAACACATGGTTCAACATAGTGCACACACCCCACAGCAGGCAGGGCCAAGAAGAAGAGAGCAGCCAACCTCAGGGGGTTTCAACAAAACCAGGACGACTCTTAAACACACCAAGAACTTATCAAAACTCTCAAACTCCCATTGATGTCAGCACAATCCTTCCCGTGGATGTCTCAGTGCTGTCATGGCCCCTTAAGGATGGAGACTTCATGCCACTATCTTGAGTGCATGCTCAGCCTTCTCCCGGTCCAGAGTGGGGGATCTGCCTGACCAGAGCTGTCTGCTGGGCCCCACAGACCCCAGAGACACAAATCTGCCACAGGGATTGCACAGCTCTGCCCTGGGCACCAAAATTGGGCAGGAACTCAGACAAACCTTTCCTGGAACGTGGGGGTGAAGAGGAGAGTAAGCCCCCAACGTCCCCCTGGGTCTGAGGCTCCAGGTCTGCTTATCCCTGGATGGGAATTTCTGGCAGGTCCCTGCTGCAGGAGAAGCTCTGGGGCTCAGAGAGTATTCTCTGACTTTTTATCTCAAGCAACATTTGTTAACTACCCTGAATGACAAAGGAGAGCAGGGAGGACCTGCTGCTGACTGAAGAGCCTCACGGAGCCAAGTTGTCCATTCCCTCTGCAGGCACTGCCATTTCACCAGAGACACTCTCAGCCCTGCAGGTTTAACCTCACCCGGGAGGAAGACAATTTTCCTGTCCATCATGATATCTCCAAATGTAGTGCAGCCTAACGAGACAACACAGATTGCTGGCAATACACAGGCACCAGCACACCTCGGCCCTGCTCCGAAGAATTTATCCCACTTTATCAAGCTGAAGGACCTGAGCCACCGTAGATAAGTGGTAACAGCAGCTTTATCAAAGCCCAGCAGCCCAACAGCTGCATCACTGCTTCCCTTCACACACCGAGGAATGCATTTCCCCACCACCCAGAGCAAACCACTTGCTCTACCAGCCTCTCCCAGACCCTGCAGAGGTTTCTGGCAGACAGTGAGCAGTTTATAGCCCCAAGCAAGTGATGACCATCTGAAATCAAGGCAGTGCAATGAAATCAGAGGAAATGACCTGTAAATGGCAGGAGTAATTCTAAGTACCTGCAATTTAGATCCATTATTTGGTGTGTTTGCTCACAGACTATATCTCTGGTAGCTTAATTTACTTGTGTATTTGCCTTGAGAAGTACAGCTCTAACAGTGGAAGATTTAAATCCAGCTTACAGAGTTTCTGTTTCATTGTCCTCCTGGCCTGCTCTTTCACGTTCTCTGCTGCCCAACCCCATTAACTGCTGTTAATGGGGTTAATGTTAATTAATTGCTGTAGTATCTCCCTGGATTGCCTGTACAACACATCTGGGGGAAACAGGAGCCTTGCTGAAGCCATTCCTTCCCCGTGAGCTAGGAAGGAATCAGAATTTCATCCTCTGAATCCACTGAGTATGGATTCTTAATTTCTTTGCATTAAATAACCCCTGCCTTGGCCCTTTCTGGCTAAGTCCAGCCTCAGGTGGAGTCCAGAGCAAATCCTCCACCTCCATAAAGTCGGCAAGTATGTTTTGCCACTTTTAGTGGCTTTGCTAAATTGAGAGATCTGGGAATAATCTGGATTTATCTTGGTTATCTGAGATGGCAGTAGAGAGATCAGCCAGTACCTGCTCAATCAGCCAGCACTAAAAGAGCTGCATTATTATACTCAACCTTATCACCTAAGGACAATTTCACCAAACTTGCTAAATCTGCCCGTGAAGTACAGACTGAAACAACCTGATAATTTTTCAAAGGTCCTAGATAAAATAACAGAATTGAGGATTGGAAATATCATTGAAGTCCACAGAAGACTCTTAGGACCAACACACGAGAGTAAACCCAGATTCATAATCTTGCAGAACTAGAGCAAAAGCAGCATGTGATGGTGTTGGGCAGTGTCCGCTGCTGCTGGGCAGGGACTGGGAGCGCTGCCCTGGGGCAGGCATGGGCTGCAGGGGCGCAGGTGTCAGCTCCTGTCATCCCCAGTGCCATGTCCCCACCACATCACCATGGCTCTGACACAGTTTACTCACTGATGTGGCCACTGAGCCGTGTGAGGGTGCTCGCTCCAGCCCTGCGTGCAGCACAGATGAAAAGGCAAATTGATGTTCTCCTGTCAGGGTGGATCAGTGGGATTCCTGAGAAGCATTCCAGCAATGCTTCCTCTCTCACAGAGCAGCCTTGCCTTGTGTTTCCCGGGCCTCTTTCTGCCAAAGGAGAGAGGTCTTAGCTTGCAGCATCCTGCCACCCCCAGAGATGCTGCCTTCCCCTGCCCTGTGCAGGGGGCTGTGTTTATCCATTCCCCCTGGGCTTCAGGAGCACCTCAGCACCCGTGCCCTGGCTGGAGGGTGTTGGGGGGAGGCTTTCTGCAGGGTACTTCCCACTTCAGGCAGAGTGGTTCCTCATCACACTCTGTTGAACTGATTTGTGCCTGAATTGCTCTATTCCCTTTCTGATTTCTCCTTCCAACTGACACTCACTTTAATTGGGACAAACATGACAGATCCTCCTGTGACAGACTTCTGTGTCAGCGCTCTGTGGTTCCTCATTCCTGCCTGCTCCCGTCTTGACCTTCCGCTCCAGGAGGAAGTTCACAGACTGTTGTTTGTTTGGGGCTGAGGCACGGAGCTGAAGCCATCCCCTTTGCAAACCCCTCATTGACAGCCCCTGGCCACTCAGCCAGGGCCCCTTCACACATCAGGGGAGAGAAGAAATATCAGAGTAAAACCCCACGTGGGAGTCGCAGTGCTGATGTTGGGTGGCTGTAAATCACTGCTGTGTCCTCAGCAGATGGAAGATCTTCCTTCAGCCACTGACACAGTCAGGAGCTCTCTGGGGTGTAACACAGTCCTGAGGACTGCTATGATGGGGAGAAAGTCTGTGCTGGGGGTCCCAACCACTGCACTGCACTGAGCAGCTGCTCATCCTGCCCAGGACCCAAACGTGGGAAACTGGGAAATGACAAGTCACATCTGATGGTGATGTAATAGTGATGACACAGCATGGATGTGGCTTGAAAAATTCCCCAGCAACTCAACCAAAGTGGCTCTTTGAAGAAATGCTTCTGTCTGTTTTCAGGTAACTGAGCCGCCCTCGAAATCCTCATGCAGCAAATACCTTTGTAGGCACCTTCCCTGTACATGTTCCATCCAGAGCCTCTACCTCTGAGCCACTTCTCCCAGCTGTCCTCTCACTCCAAGGGAAGGGTGGGAAGGATGCACTGTGAATTTCCAGGCAGCAGGAATGCATCTCCAAGGAAGATGAGGTGGCTGGAGTGGGAAGCTTCTCAGCACAAAGCAGGTTTGCCATCCTTAGTCACTTTTTGAATTTAGATCTTGCTGTTACTTGCTGTTACTTGTTTTGGCTCACCACCAGTCAGCTGGGAAGGAAGGAGTTATTTGGTGATCCAAGGGAAAAGCCACAGCTTCCTCTTGCCGTAGCAAGGCATTGAGAGGGAAGGGGATTCTGGAGATTTGTTCTTTCTGCTCTTTCCAAGGGGCATATTGGAAGAAAGCCAGGGAAGTGGATTTGCTTTGTGTATTTGGGTTTCTGAAACTTTTAGTGGAAACCTTTAATTCTGGGGGAAAACAGCATTGTCACTCAAAACCCCACAGCTGTGACAAAAAAAAAAAAGGTGGTTTGGGTAGGAAATTAGACACTTCTGCTTGAGAAAACAAACTAAAGCAGCCCAGCTCAAGCTGGCAGCCCAGCTCCAGAGTCAGGGAGCAGCAGTGCAGGGGGTTGGATGGCTGTCCATCATCCCAGTCTATCAGAGCAGGGAAAGCAACCTGGCATCCCAACCAGTCCATCAACAGGGGTTGACCTGCACTCATTCTGCCTCAGTCCCTGCATCCCTGCTCTGGCCAGGCCCTCTCAAAACTCCCCAAAATCCTTTGGACTCTGTGCAGAAGGGCCTTTGGTCCTTGCTGGGATGGGCATAATGGTGGAGGAACCTGCTGCATTTTGGCATTTTCCTGGGAACCCAGTGACTATATTTGAGAAAAAGCAGAGTCTCCGTCATGGAACACCCCAGGATGAGTCATGAGCCCTGGGTGAAGGGGAGGAAGCAACTGTCTTAAAAAGAAGACATCCAGTGTCTGTGGGTGAGCACTGCCCAAAGAAGTGGCAGGAGAAGACAGCTTGGAATCTTGGAATGCTCTTTGGACATCCATGTGCATGTGGGCCTGGCTTCATCCTGAAGAATTTTTTGTGAAAAACCACAGGGAAAATTCTACCTCAGGAGCAAGAAGCTGGAAAATGAGGATTTTCTTGGTTTGGACCCTTTTCCTCGTGAGAGCCACGAGCACAGGTCAGGCAAATCTCTATCAGGTGTTCTGGCAGAGCTGTGGAGAGGCTGGGGCCAAGGCAGACCATGAAGCTCACTGCAGTCATGGCAAAAGACCAGCTGATCCCAGACTTTTCCTCTGGCAGTTACAGGGTGTGATCTCTGAGATGCCATGTGAACCCTGGGAATAAGGCTTTTCACTCTCTTACTAACATATGCCCTTGATGTGGGCTCTTTTTTAAATGACTGGGGATGTCTTGCCTCACTACTGCTCACTGGCATGGTGGGTGCACAGGCACAGCCTCCGTCAGGCTGAACCCCCAAGATACCTGGGCTCAGATCCTTCATGGTTCCCTGAGACAATGCCAGGATGGGTTTACAGTACCTCTCTGTGTCCCCTGCAGGTGGCCAGGCAGTGACAGGCCCCAGGCAGGTGACAGTTGAGCAGGGCAGCTCGCTGGCAGTGTCCTGTAGCTACAAGCCACGCTACAAGCTCAACTCCAAGTATTGGTGCCGCAAAAACTCCCTCCGGGTTTGCTTCACCTACATCATCCAAACCGATGGCTCAGAGGTAACAGTGACACAGGACAGGCTGTCCATCAGGGACAACCACACAGCAAATTCATTCAGAGTGACACTGAGCAGTGTCACACTGGAGGATGCAGGCCAGTACTCCTGTGGGGTGAAGAGGAGACTGGGGATCAACCGCTGGCACAGCACCAAGGTGATGGTCTCTGAAGGTAAAACAGGGCTGGAAGCAAAGCTGGCAATAAACTTCCCCCTTTTTCCTCTTCCTCCTCTGCAATGCTCAGGGTATTGCCCGGACACCTCCATATTCACACTCTGCACCTTCACTGCTGAAGTCTCAGGACAGAGACTCCTGTGCAGGGTGCAGGACAGAGGGTGTGGGGGGTCTCCACTTTGCTCTGACTCTCTTTTCTCTGACAGCTGTTTCAAACACAACAGAGGACAGCAATGTGAGCCTGTTGACCACCAACCCTCTGTGCCCCAGGGGCTGTGGGGAGCCTCCAGTGCTGTGAGTCAGGGTTTGGGATCCGGGCAAGTCCCCAGCAGCATCCCTTGGCCAAACCCTTCTTTTCCCATGCATGTATCTCCCAGCTTGGAGTCCCCAAGGATCATCCTGGGGGCAAGCAGGGCAGCTGGCAGACATTCAAGTGCCCCAGCTCCCATCCTCATTCCCCAGACCCTACTAAAGCTCTAGCATAACCTCCTTTTTCCTACGCAGGTCCCAGCTCAGTGTCATCCACTTACTGCTTCTTCTCAGCATCAAGGTGCCCATAGCATTGGCTGTGATTTGTGGAGTGGCCTGGGTGAGGAGCTGGCGCAGGAGCCATGACCAGGAAAACCTGCAGGTCTTGGAGGTATCCAGCAGCACCAGGGCACGGGGCTGCCCACTCATCCCAACCATCTCTGAGCCCCAGGGATGCCCTCCTGTCCCCATGGTCCCCTCCCTGCTGGGGCCGAACCACCCCTCACGGCCACCCCGTGCCAGAAGGTGTTTGGCTCCAGGTACTTCTGGCCCTGGAAAGCCTGAGCCTCTCCTGGCAGCCCCTGCACTGGAAAGGGAAGGGTTTGGGGTGCAGAGACCCTGTGTCTGTTGAGCTGCAGCTGCCAACTCAAGACAATTTTGCAATAAAGGCTGGGTATCCTGCAGGACCTTATCTGCTTGTCTGTCTGTCTGTCTGCTCCTTCCTTCAGCTGCCAGCACTGCCCCAGATGCCCATGGCAGCTGATGCTGATGCAGAGCATTGTGGCTGGGTGGGGACATGGGGTCACAGGGGCAGTGCAGGCTCCACCATGGCCCAGCTGAGCTTCCTCATGGGGAGAGGAGCCCTCAGCCCTACCACCTCTGCCTGAGCCACCAAATGTCCATCTCCAGCTAAGCAATAGCCAGGGAAGACTGGGTTCCACAACTCTGCCCCCCACTAAGCAATGGCAGGGATTGGGGACACAGGGGGAGGCGTGGAGGGACCTGATCAGAGCATGGGCTTCCTGGGCCACAGGGAGGCTGTGCTGGCACGAGAAGTGGATGCTCCTATCCAGCTGCACTGGGATAAGGGGCTGGGCTTACCCATTTCATTCCCCTGGGAAGGACAGGGTGGCCATTCAGGGCACTGCCCAGCCTGGGGAATTATCTGGGGTTCAGGTGATCCCTCTGCCGTGCTACCTCTCCCACTGGCTGCCCTGCCTGTCCAGAGGGGCTGGGCAGTGTGGCAGTGAGAGGCAGGCTGTGTCTCAACACAGAAGCTCTGTTGGAGGAAGAAAGGGGGAACCCTGGGGAAGGGCAAAGGGAACTGTGCACAGCAAGTAATCTCAGTGACCAGGAGAAGCTGAAACTCTAGGAAACAGGAAACACCATGATCTTGCTGTATCTCCAGCAGTAACAGAGGTGGTACCAGAAGTAAAAGAGTAAGTGAAGCCCCAGAGACACAATGAAGAGGAGTAGCAGGGCTGCCCCGACATGTGCATGTGGCTCCTGCTGGTGCTGGCCTTGGCACGGCTGCCAGGTGGGGCTGAGTGGATCGCCAGGACTGGAGCCCCGCACTGGACCAGAAGAAGCAGGAGGTGTTGGTGCAGTGGCAGAGCTCCCGTGTGTCTCCACAGGCTCCAGGGCAGTGACAGGGCCTGCCATGGTGTGGGGATTCCTGGGGGGTTCCCTGTCAGTCCCAGCCCGGCTGGGAGACATTGCTGATATTCTGGTGCAAACCGAGAACACACACTGGTGTTACCTGTGCTGCTTACATCGTCAGCACCTCGAAATTGCAGACCGAGGTGCTGCAGGGCTGGTTCTCCATTCTGGACAAGCATGTGCCGTGCATTCAGAGTGACTGTGGAGCGTCTGGTCAAGAAGGATGCGGGCACGTTATGTTACAAAAGGGATTTTCCCCGTTACATGAGAGTGCTGATGTGGAGGTGACCATAACCCCAGGTGGATCCTTGAAGGTTTTCCCGATAGCAACAGTGACCCCCACATTTTGAGGCCGGGGCCAGACTGCGGGATGAAGTTTCACCTGTGGGTGACGGGATCACGGTGCCCGTCTGGCACCGCTACATCCATCCTTCCTCCGCATCTGCAACCCCGACGCTCTCCAGGCGCTCCTCACGAGACCGGCAGCGCTTTCCGCTACTTCCCAGCGCTGGCCGGGCTGCAGCTGCTGTCCCTGAGCGCTGCCGTGCTCTGGGT